GACGACTTTTGGCCATCGAAGATTTAGCGTGAAACTTGTAGATCAAAAACAGTATAAGATTTCAGATTGAATTTGAAAACAATACGGAAAATCCATCTACAAATTAACTAGACTGAAAACCGATCAAACTTTTAAAACTTTTTAGTCTCATTAGATTAGAAACAGTATAAAATATTCATAGCTGCTCAATTATTTTACTAAAAAGTTATTTAGACTTAAAACCGATCAAAAATAATTTGAATAGTAGATCAAATACAGATGAAAATGTTTTTAAAAGTTCAAATACAGGTCAATAAGTTCAAATGCAGATCATTTAGCTTAAAATCAGTTTAAATTTTTTGACCCGGGATGTCAATCAAGAGAATGACATTACTTCGTTCGTACCTATCAAATTTATAGAACCTGTAAAAGCAATCAGGTTACAGAATTAAAATTAAACGTGAAACTTAATGAATAAAATAGTGGTTTAAAATCATACTAATAAATTGAATTGGTAAAGTAGATTCGTGCTTCTATTTAAAGGGACAATTTTTAATTTAAAGGAAACGAACATTCCCTTTATTTATTCTATATCTATAAAAAAAAAAATGGAAAATTATAACTCTGTAACAATAAAGAAGCTCTAAACGTTAGATCGAAATAAACGATTATATTGTATAAACTTCTATTACATTAATAAAGTTTAAAATATGAACAAGATTAAATGAAATGATTTAATTCTGTAACAGTTATGTTTCAATTAATTGAGGACGGAATGTGTGTTCAAATTTGCATGAATTATTGGTTACGAACTACAATAATTTAACAAGGGATTGAATAATTAATTCCATATAAATTAAAGAGGACAAAGTTGTTACAATAAAATTGTACATCGTTTCATTTTCGTATTTTGAAAAATTAAAATTTTAAAAAATTTGCAGTCATAGCTAATTAAATAGGGCACATGATTATCAACTGTCAAATAGCTCAAATACTATTTAAATAGAATGTTGCTCATCTGTTTAAATTCTTACTAAAATGATAGTAAAAATCTAAACATCAATTATGTAATAACGTGACCGGTAATTACGATTACTTTTCATTGGAGGAATGTTCATTGAATATGTGATATCCCCTGTAGATGGATAAATAGGGATAAGGTTCTTATTTCTAGAAGAGATGATTAGTCGAATCTAAAATTATTGTAAGTTTATTAAGAACAATGTCTTACAAGAAAAATGGCATGTCTTTGTCAAATGCTCGTATAGAACTACATTTCACACTCAGGTCAACTGACCCTCAGCACTCATCCCCTTTTCCCACTCTTCGTACTTTAGCGTCTCTCAAAAATCATACCTACGTACCTTAGTACATACTCTCGTTCTCATTCTTTCTCTCTCGCACTCATACACTCCAGATATCGTATCTTACAGCTAGACTTAAATACTACCTGATGGCCTACGCTTTTGGCGTATACTCTTTTTATTTTTGATATTACAAATATGCTATCAAGAGATGTGATATTTTATCTGTATGAATAGAGATTTTATTATAAAGTTCGCCGATCTTTGAATGGTATAAATTAAAAATATACTTATTCAATATTCGTGATGGTACAGTTTTAGTATCAGCTTATACATTTTTGATACACACTTTTAATCATGTATGTACATTTGTGAATAATTTCTGTAAAAAAATCATTTACATTTCAGGTATCAGAAAATGGAAATATGACAACTTCAACTTTATCATTTCAACCGACACGGGATGATCACGATAAGAGTATAACATGTAGAGCTGAAAATCCAAAAGTCGAGGGTGGCTTCGAAGAGGACACTTGGAAACTAAATGTATTTTGTGAGTATACCCATATATATACATATCGTAAATCCATATATATCGTACAGAGTGATATGATTGATAAAATAAAAATGAAAGAGTAAAATTCATTTGTAAAGTGATTAAAAAAGCGATTGTCGGGATATTTGAACTCGTCTCATATAGTTCCTACTATGAGTGTATCCACGAATGTCAAAATGTAGAGTAAAAAAATTCCATAACATTTTTTTGTATACCTATGGATGTATATATTATATATACGTAAAAATGTCATGACTATTGAAAACGTTGAATAGTATATACTATGTAGTATAGAGAGCGAGAGAGTTTCTCATTCCCGCGTTGGCCATTGAAAGAGATAACGTGGATAACAACGAGAATGTAATCGAAATAACGAGATGTCAACGGGGAAAATGGAACTAGCCGGAGATCTGGATTTATTCGGTCAAATTCATGGTACTAGAAACCCTCCGGTATATATTTACTCACTCGCTTGCTCGCTTCCTCGCTCGCTCACTCATTCGCATTACACACGTGCGCGTCGGAATAAGAGTGAAAACGGTATTTCAAAGTGATGCTCCAGCGTTTATGAATGTGGATCCATACAGAAAGGAACTAAATAAAAATTCACTGTTATATTTCATTCAAATTCCATTTTTCCACCACTCATGATTGAGATCAAATTTTTCATCACATGGAGATAATTAATCCCTATAAATGGAGGTTATTACAAAGAACGGTCGTAGAAAAAACAATAAAGCAGGGATCGACTTGCCCCAAGGCTATTTCGTGAAATTTATGTTTTGCTCGTTTTTTTTTTTTTTTTTTTTTGTAATCAATATTACTATTTTTCGTTTTTAGTTTTATCATCACTACAATAGAAGGTTAACGATCGAAATTAAATGGACAGTAATAACGATTTTTAACTTTTCATTGGTAGCTAATTAAAGTGGATTTTTTTTAAGTTTAAAACTAAAAACGGATACCGTTATTTAATTAGTTTTTAAAAAAATTCATATTATAATTATTTTATGAAAAAAAAAAAAATTATTTTTTTCTTTTGTAAGCTTAATATATTTTTTTGGTTCGTTAAAAATCATAGTATAACTTTTGAATATTAAAAAATTGTTAAAAGGGTTTATGAAATTTTCTTGACAAATAAATAAATTAAACTGGACATTAATTTTTCTTTTTCTCACTTTATAAAACATGAGTCGCAGTCGAATATATCAACTATATGTAGATCGAACAAATTTATTCTTGATTTACAACTTAATTTTTATATGGATATTAATAAGTACCGTAGTATACTATTTCTTAAAAAAATAAAAAATAACCAAGATCTTGGATTATGTTCTATGTTTATGATCGCTCGTTACGATATTATTATTTCCTGTCACATGTTGATGTATATCATAATATAAAACTCGATCCTGGATCATATATTGTGTTAAAAAAATCTATGTGGTGTTAAACAAAAAACTTTTGAGGCACAATATAAACAAAAATTTATTTGATTTGCAGTCATACCGATAATTCGACTAGAGCTGGGTTCTAAAATGAATCCCGACGACATCGAGGAGGGCGATGACGTATATTTTGAATGCAAAGTACGAGCTAATCCAGAAGCCTACAAAGTCGTGTGGAAACATAATGTATGTAACACCAATGTCAGCTATTTGTTTTTTCATTCAATCGTTAAATTTTTTTCACCACATAATTCGATTAATCCCTGTATACACATATGTTATGCATGTATAATGGATGACTAATCACTAATCAATTTTGTGATAAAAAAAAAATAAAATGTTATGTTCTTATTTTGTTTCAGGGAGTGGAGATTCATAATAATGCTAAAAAAGGTGTTATCGTACAACATTATAGCTTGGCGCTAAGAAAAGTAAATCGTTTTCAAGCGGGTAATTACAAGTGTGTCGCTTCAAACGTCGAGGGTGATGGCTACAGCGATACCGTCGAGCTTAAAATAATGTGTAAGTACACGTCTTTTTCTTTTGTTTATCACAATCAACTATTATACAAAATATATCTATATTTTTACCCACCAACAATATTTCCCATCTACTCAATTTGTAACGAACAATTTAAAAAATTGCACGTCATTAAGCGTCAAACTATTATATTTGAAATTTTAAAGTCAAAGTTCATAAAAAATTAATAACTTTCAAGCGTATTTTTACAGAAATATTAATTCTTTATTGCACAATAATAAAGGAATAATTTGTTAAGCTTTGTTACGAAATTTTAAAGAGATTTTATTTCAAATAATTGAGAAATAATATTTATGATATAATAGTTGAAGTGAAATATGACTTAATTGAGCCATAAATAAATAATAAACTCAAATAATTCAATTGCATTGAATCAATGATTAATTATAAAGAGATATTAGTTCGAGTAAATACTCTATCAATTAATACTTAATATTGAACAATAACTTTATAACATTACGAAACACATGAAAACTAAATAACCGATTAATTTAACGATTGATTAATTATAATTACCATTGCTAAACGTTTATTTTAAACATTTGTGTATCATTACTACGATACACTGTAAAATGTTTGAAAAATGAGTGCGGAGTGGATGATTTTTAATTAATACTATCTCACTTGAGTGGAATTAACTCCAAATTTTTTTACAGTGTAACTTAGCTTAATTGAACTGTTATTTTGACATTCAATTCAAATGAATACAAATGTTATTTTAAAAAATAATATTTCCAGAGTTAATTTAAATTATTTAAACAACTACAATACAAATATTCCTTCTTTTTTTCTGAAATTAATATCCCAGTCATAAATATAAATCATTTACCAAGTCTTATGATTAATACCAGACAAGATGTTTACTAATGCATTACAGAGCTCGTAATGAAACTAAAATAAAATAAATTATTATGCTCCGTAAATTGAAAGTTGTGTAAAAACTGCAATATATCATAATGTTATAAAAGTAAAAAAAAAAAAATAGTCATAGTGACATGACTAAACTGAGCAGACAAATTATTCCGTGCCAACGAACTTTTCCTGTCCGGCGAAACTATTCGAACGCGGAAATAATGGTCATCGATCTTGTGGGAAATAACGGAAACACACGACTGCATTGGTTGGGTGGTTGGCTTTAGGCCACCTTCACCACCGCCTCTTTTATTCACCGCTTACTTTTCAAATTCTCATACCCAACCCTACCACCCTAGCTTTCCCTTACTATCCCCAATACTAATACTAATAAGTGCAAATAAAATACATACGATACCACTGTACTACAAAAGCACTCGTTTCAGTTCTATAAGTCTGTTCAACAGTAGTTTTAATAAATGTACTATCCGTAAATCCTGTTTTCACTTGTTAAGTTTACGAGCTCCGCCTCCACTTACCTAGACTAGAAGTTACTCTTTCCTAGTTAATTTTATCAGCTCCTATCCCACGTACACATTAAAGCTACTTTCCGACACTTCGTACAAGCCCATCACTTCGCGTATGTGGTGATATGTATAAGTATATATAGGTATACACTATAAAGGCTAATGACGCCGCTAGTGGTGGTCCCGAAATGAGCTGCCGTATAGATGCCCAAAATTAGTCCTTTGTTAAAGCTGATCAAGGCTCTTCTATCCGCATCTCATTCTCCACTACTTCACTGTCCTCATACCATCCAGTAATTCGATCCACTGAATACGTTGTCATAGTCTCTACTCATCCTGTAACTGTGTTGTTCCAATATCATTCGCCCTCATCCCTCACCACGGTCTTTTATTTTACAAATGACCCGCGTACCACCACGAGTAAATACAAGCTCTCGATATATGCTTATTATATATGTGGGTGTATGTATATTTATCGATATATCTACAGGTGTAAATGTACTCTCATCAATATTGCTACGCAGAATCCCAGTTGCTTTGCGCTACTGATATTTCAGTGCGAGGAATGTAAATTAGTACACCACCGTGTACATTACTAGATTAACGTGCATTTTGTTTACCTGTGGCTATCATTAATACCTTTGAAATTAATTCTTTTAATGATTATTTATAGCGCATACATTTCAATTCGTATATCGAGAGAATTGCTGCAAAAATTATTTAAATTTTACATTATTTTGAATTAAATTTACCAATGTCAATTATGTATATTGGCATTGCGTGTTACATCGATAAATGATAAATAATCTATTTTTACTTCAACTTTTATATAAGAAAAGTTTTTTTTTATTAGTAGAGCATTAAATTATTGTTAAACTTAAAATAGTTCGTTCTACTGTACTAAAATATACAATTTTATTAAATGCATGTATGTATACGATTATTATTTAGGGTAATTCATAGAAAAATTTTTATAGCTTAAAAGTGCACGCCTCACGGGCTCATTTTAATACAAATAAGAAAATTAAAAAATAAAATTGGCCCTTTAGAATTCCACAATAAGTGCAATATGAGTATTATAAAGGCATTTAAATTTCAAAAATTGCTTGACTTTGATTAGTTGAAAATAAAACACTACCTCAACTGCTCGGCGGGCTAAAAAAACCAAATATTTAATATGATATTGGTCGATACTCAGCTAAAAACTTAGTTAAATCCTTTATCGAAATAACCAAAACGTAAATGTAATCACAAAGTATGAAAAGATATGCTATATAAAATATCTACTCTGTTACTCAGTATCTGTAACAAAATTAGCAAGTAATTGAGGAAACTGGACTATAAATGATTCTAAGTAAAATATAAACTGATTTACTAATTTCAAACTTTACATTAAAAAAAAAAAAAAAAAAAAATTCTGAATTTCAGTAATATGACACAGAAGACTTAAAATATGACCCTAATAGAAATAAGTGACATTTTATTAATTTTAATTCAATCACCCTGGTTCAATTTTTAGTATTTTTTATCCCGAATGTAGTAGTAAATTAATTGAAAGAAAAATGAATTGATAAGTTCGTGAATTTAATTAACAAACTGAATTTTTTCATCTAAAAATGACTAGAGCACTTCATATACAATTACATTTTTTCGTACTCAATATCAAGTATATTTATTAAATTGAACATAAATATAACGCTAATAAAAGCTGTGAGTGTGTGTCAGGAAAAATAACGTGTAAAAAAAAGTAATTTATTTATTTATTTGATTTGTTTTGAGAAATTAAATTTAATTTTTATCTTTATTTTTGTGTGTAGATAAACCAATCTGCATACCAGATCAGAAACGAATCTACGGTGTGGCACGACTCGAAGAGGCGAAGGTTGCCTGCCGAGTGGAAGCTTACCCGCCACCAAACAACTTTCGTTGGGCATTCAACAACACCGAGGAAATGGTAGATGTGCCGCAGGCACGTTACAGGAATTCAACCCGTCATACACAGAGTGTGCTCACATACAAGCCCGTCACTGAAATGGACTATGGTACGGTGTTGTGTTGGGCAAGCAATACAGCGGGCCAGCAGATGAACGCCTGCATATTTCACATTATACCGGCAGGTATTGTACTACATAAACATCCATACACATATCCACCTATGAATGCATCACATACATCAGTGCTTGCACTTTAGCTTAAAAAATCCCTGCGATTCCATCACCGGTAGACGTTTAAGTGTTTCAGCCTCCTGATGAATTTATTCCATTTTTATTGTTGTTGTTGTTATTGTTATTATTATTATTATCACTGTATTTTATCTCAATACAAGAAAATTTTTAAACTTTCCTCAGGTAAACCGGAAGCGCCGTACAACTGCACTTTGACGAATCAAACAACTGACTCGTTATCTGTAGAGTGTTCTGCGGGTTTCGACGGTGGCCAGCCCCAGAATTTTCTCCTGGAGGTCTACGATCAACATACGGGTATGCTCCAAGCCAACATTACTAGTCGGGAGAACGCATCCTTCACTGTTCTAAACTTAGAACCGGACAAGGTGCTTATGATGAAGCTATATGCCTACAACTCTAAAGGTCGAAGTGAAGCCATTAAACTCGAAGGGTTTACTTTAAAAATTGCTGAAAAGCAGACTGGTAAGCCTCACTTATCCTTCTCCATACGATATTCTCTATTAGGATTAATACGAAAAAGCTAATTTTCGATACCAAAGTTCTTTAAAATTTTTCCGCGAATCGAATTGTTTTTATACGAATTGAATGCCCTCTTCCGTTCGGATGCGTAAATCATAAAAAATGAACTAACTAAAGACTGTATTGCACTGAAAATCAAATTTTCTGCTCGGCACCATCTACTGTATTGTAACAAGTGTATCGTTACGGGTACAATCCGTATAGCTACACTTTTCCTAACCTCACTCTCTTCTAGATAGTAACGTGTAAATCGTGACAGTAGCGATCTCGTATAGTGCAGAGCAGAAAACTTTTTTTTCAGTGTAATTAAATAATAATAAAGTTTCGCATTGAAATTTTCATCCAATTTTATTAAGCTTTAAAAATCATAAAATTATTTAAAATTCTAGATAACAGTTACAGAAATTCACCCTCATAAATATTCCAGATAGTTAAAATAGAGAACTAAATTTTCCAAGCTCACGAACCTTCAACTACCGCTCTGACCCAATTTCTTATTAATTTAATTATGAGCTTATTAACAAAACTAATTATGAATTACTCAATTTTAGTTATCCCAGTCTCAAAACATAATTCTATCATATTTTGTAACTTGAGCTCTGTGTTCTCCATTCTCTTTGATTAAAATAATAAATTTATCTATCTATATTTTTCTGTGATTCCTTCAACAATCAGTATGCTCTTCGTCAGAGCACCGGAACAGAATATTACTCAATTTCTAGATTAATCTAGTTTCCGGAATTTCTCAATCTCTTGCTGAGTGCATTCTTCGGCTTCCACATCACTGTATACTTTACCAACACACCCCACTTCGACACTACACACGTGATACTTACATGAATAAATATTAAAAGTAATTATTATTTTAATTTATTTAAAAACTTGCTTATATATATCTACCTCATTCGAGTATAGAGAAAAATAATGCACATGGATTTACATATTCATTTACTTAGTTCTGTTAATAATGACAATAATAATAAAAGTAAAAAATAATAAATTTAACAAATTGAATAAAACTTGACCTTATTAATCTTATAATTTCTTGTCATTATTATTGTCATTATTTTAAACTACAAGTCATATCTTGGGACAAAAAAATAAGTGGAGCTATTACCCGAGACGCGACTTCGAACAAACGTTAAAGAACTTCATCCATCAGGATGGCATCTTAGTGTACTTGTGCCGCGATTAAAAATTAATCTGCACTCCAGGCTCATGACGACAAAAGCCTTAATATCTTGTACGTTATAGAGTTTTCCGAGGCAAGCGTCCGAGACACGAAAAAGTAAAAATACGGGTCATAAGAACTAAAAGATAGGATAAAAGTCCTGCCTGCAGTATAAGTATAGATCACCGAAGGCTTTTTTAAGCTTTTACGAGTAAGACGACAGTATTATATTATATTATATTATATAGACAAAAACTCACTCTTATTTAATTTTTTATAAGTAATCAGACCGTTAGTACACAAGTAACACAAAGTATATACTTGGAACAATTTTTGAATAATTCAAAATAAATATTTCATTTAACCTTTTAAGATGATCCTGTTTACACGAGGGGTAATTGCACGAGAGTAGTGCGCGTTTTGTCCTCAGGTACCCAGGTGCCGTTCGAGATAACACCGCTACTCGGTGTGCTTATTGGGCTTGTAGCAGCGCTGCTGATTATCACAATTGTCATTCTGGGTGCATTGAAAGTTCGCAGTGACAGGCGAGCTCACAGACCCGGTGATTTGCCACTGAAAAAGGCGACCGCGCCCAGCTCGGAAGATTTGTACGACACTGATGATCGGAATCCAGACGTTGTTCCAACGAATAAAGGTATAGAAAATTATATTGTTAATGTTTTTTTATAAGATAGGGAAGACTTGAAAACTTTTAAATCAGAGTTGCAAAACATTTTATTTGAAATAAAATAGATAATGATAATTTATCAAAATTTTATAAATCCTTTAATCAATTTTTTTTAATTATTGATTGTTTTGAGAAATGCATTAATAAAATTTCGTTGATTATTAATCTTTTTCAAAATATATTCATGAAATTTTTAAATTATCAATTATTTGAAAAATTAATAATATAAAAAATTTTTTTAAATTTAATTGAAAGATTTTCAATAAAATTGATAATTAAATCAGAAATGTAATATAAAAAAAACTCATTTTGTTGCAACCTAGAGTTAGATATTGATATTGCATTTAATTGAACTAAAAACTTTGAAATTAACTAGCTATTTTTAGTGCTTTGTGCAACACAATAGACTATTAAATATTAAAGTCACGTAAGCTGAACATCTGAAATAATTACCCTTCTATGTAGGTATATATAGATGAGCTTGCTTTTGTATACCAAACTTCGAGACTGTAATTCAATAAAATTGATTTTATCGTAAATTTTATATCGAAAGAACAATATTAATGAAGATTTAGAATATCAGAATTTGACCTAAATAATCAGGACTTGAAGTCGGCTCCATTATCGTAATTTAATATTGATAAGCACTAAGTAATAATAAGCAATCATTCCCGTGCTAGTCTTCCCTATGTATTTACATTGAATATACTTTATTCCGGAATTAAATTTAACGCAACAGCGTATCATATAATATTCTTTCTGTTATTTTTTCCCTGCTATTGTTAATTGGAAGATTCAGATTACCAATTAACTGGCTCAACAGCTGGTACTCCATTAGCTGCTCAACCAACTTCCGATGAAATTTCTACCACTTCACTGCCTATACAACAGACGAATCATCTTCAGACTCTTAATACTTATTCACATAACGATTATACCAATTATCCGACTTTGCCGGTAAGTTTAAATTCTTTTATAAGTATTATTTTTATTAGCATCTAACAATCCCTATTAACATTTACGATTCAATTTAATTGCACTTTAGCTGATTATATTACCGTCAGTTAGAGCTTATATTTAATAATGGAAAGAGGAATTTGAAATATAAACATACTTATATAATTTAATTATTCAACAAAGCTTTCGATAATTCATTATTCATTACATTAAGCACTTTGACAATTTGATATGTCATTAATTTTATACACATTCAATGAATATTTTATACTTTTACTCATGTATTATTCTATTATTCTATTATTCATTCGTCGACATTTATCACCGGTAAAGCTTTTTTAATTAAAATCCCTAGTTTTCATTTTACATCGTGTACCCTTCACTTTTTTAAGTAACAAATTTAGAACAATGAAATTTGACCCTTACTTAAACAATCAAAGTAACTTTATTCTTGTTACAGCCAATCTTTGCTCAGAGTAACTTTAGCTTATTTGGAGCACTTTAAACTCATCTTGTAAAGTAGTTTTAGGGCGATCACAGATCCACCTATTTTTGGCAAACACAATGAAAAATTATGATATCAAATTTATTATACAATAATAATAATAATTATTGTCTTAAATTTTCATGAGTAGATTCGTTCTAAACCATCGCTTATTTTTTTCTTCAAAAGTTTATTAAAAATCGAATAATTTTAAATAAATATTTTTTTTTATTTTTGATCATTATGAAGAAAATTTTTTTTTTTTAATCTTTTATTTGTGATAAGCTTTAGAGAAAAAAAATCATCAATTGATCGAAAAAATTGAATTATACAATTTTATTGCCAAAAATAAGCGGAATTATAATGCTAAACAATTAACAAAAGTTTTAATTTTGTTATTCTGAAATTACCAAACATCTTACAATTTTAGAAATTTTTATAAAAAATCAATTACGTTAAAAAAAATGTTTTTAAAAATTTGCACTTCTAGTGACGAATGATTTTTATAACAATTTCTGTTAATTTTAGTATCATTTAAAAAAAATTAAATAAATTGAATAAAAAAATTCAAAGTGACATCAAGTATAAAACAAATACAAATACAAAACTGAATTTTATAAATAGAAAGGTAAAATTTATCATTACAAATTTATTATTTTATCATGTCAATTCCCTCTTTCCATTAGACTAATACGTTAATTTGTAATACAGAAGTGAAAGATCTTCAATTTAATCAAGTCGATTATTTTTATAACTTTGTTATAGCTAACAGGGGAAGTTACATATGCCGAATTGTGTCTAGCCCGACCAACGACCCTATCAACAACGGTGGAATCAAAACTCACGTGTTTGAGCGGCAGCCTGTCGGGCATCGGCGGATTCGGTGGGAGTAACGGCGGCAGCGGAGTCGGGAGCGGCGGAGGAGTGCTAGTCGGGGGTAAACCTTACATAAAAGAAGCCACCGTATATGCGTGTATAGACCACAACGCGCGACCCCCGAAAATAGACCAAATTTGTCAGCCAAACAAAATAAATCAAATCAGCAGTCCTCTGCTGCAAGACTCCAATAGTAGTATCGCGACAATAGGCACCAAGCAGCACCATCATCCCCGTGAAGTCGTTACCGTACGCACACCACTGATCTCTACTCAAGAGAGCTGCGTATAGGGGCGCGAATCCGACGCGCTCGACATAAACGAGTATTACGTCTAATCGTAGCGACGTCGATGTAATTATTATCTTATGATTTTATTTTTAAGGTTTTTTTTCTCGTTTTGTAGGGGAATGAGTTGATGAAATTGCTTGGTTTTGTAAATCGATAATAAAAAAAGTATGTGAATAAATAAATATAATGGACGAACAAACAATAATTCAATTTAGAATGACGACGAAATAGAACTTGTATGTAATATTTACAATGCTTTGTTCAGCAATCACATATCGATCGGTAATATACCAAGTATTTCTTTATAAACACACCAGTACCATTGATTTAACATTTCTCAGTACAGACTCAAAGCTATTTTTATTAATATTATTTTTTTTTATCTTGTCTGTTATTTTATTCGGGATTTGTGCTTTATTTTTTTACAATTATTAGATTACGATAAATTTAAAACGAAACAATAAAATTATTCTAAAGTTTTGTTACGACACAAATAATAATAAATATAAATTTAAAATAAAGACTTTGTCATGACAGGTAAGATGAGACTGCTTTTATGAATGCGTTCTATAGTATAATAATCATACAATAATTTAATAAAATTAAAACTAAATAACGAAAATAACTAATTAATTAATTAATTAATTAATAGTAAAAACTATAATATAGACGATAATAATAGAATAATAATGAATAAGTGTAAATACTAACAAAGCGGTTTTATAATAAATACTGCAGGTAAATGCGACCGGATCGCATTTGTAAATTTATTTGTAAATACTGACAGTTTAAATAAATTGATAACATTATTTGACACTTTCAAAAGACTAATCTCGCTTAGTAATTAATGAGTTAATTAAATTGACTTACAAATTATAATGATAATGAAATTACCATACTGAGAAAGATTAAATTAGAAAGATAAAGCTCATTTTAAATTTAGTGAATTAAATATTAATATAAATTTAATTGAATGACAAATGAGATGTCGGAATTTTTAAATTCTGGATAAAAAATTACATTAGGAGTTTTAAGATAAACTAATTATAATAATAATTGACGGTTTTATTAAGCTGTCACTTTGACTGTAATATAGTTTTTATGTACAGTAACGATATTTTTTCAGAGTATAATTCATTAAGATTTATTAACTAAGAAAGAGATTATTAAGTAGATAGAATATTACGTTAATAATTATTGATAAAAAATAATTAACAACTGAGAGAATGTTAAAATATTAAAAAAAATAATAATTACTATTGTTATTAATACAATAACAACAATAATATTGATACATGATAACAATAAATTAATTGATAGTTCTAACTATAAAAATGTAAACGTCTCATATAAAAAATAAAAAAAAGTATGTTAAACATATATTTAGTTATTACTTTATGATTTTTTTTGTATGAATGAATAAAGTATGCATTGAATTGAAACTTTGTTATCATATTAAACTAACTAGAAAAATTTTTTTCTAATACTCAATAAACAATATTTTTTTTTACATTAAGAAATTAATTTTTTATATCGATATTTTGTATTGTCAGGCAAAATACTCTGTATCATAATTAAATAAAAAATATTAAAGCGAATTTTCGACGGTACTGCCGAATCTGTTGTATTCGGTTAACAAAAAATGGTTGACACAATTTGAAAGGCATTGAAGCACGCGCATTGGTATATTAACGACAACGGGTTTCCAGCCTCACGCATACACACAACTAAATTCTATTCTCTTATTTAAAAATCTCTCTTTACTCGAGCACTCGACTCTCGAGTTTGATTTTCAGATTCATTGAATATTGCCAGCACGTATCGCTCCTCTACGCGTCAATTGAAATACCCTTCACAGCTTGCTACGCACGTTTACCTAACCTGAATTCATCATCCTGCCTACTATCCTATATATTCTAAATTTCATTTCATTCAAGCCCTATTTTACAAAATATACTGTTCTGTTTGTTGTCATTTTGTCCTCCGATATTTATTATTACTATCCATTGTCTTACAACTTCACTCGGTCTATCAGCCTCGCACTGAATAAAAAGTTAAATTGAAATTAAATCTGTTAACAACGAACAAGTGTGAATGGAAATAAATTTTTTTTTTTATATTGTATCAATTTAAATATGATTGACTTTAAGTGATCAGTTTTTTTTTTTAAGTTTTATCGACTAAATAAAAGTATACTTTTATTGGCCTCAAAAATGACAACGTGACCAGGTTCATGCGGTAAAAAAATATTTGACGGGTGTGTCTAACCCTTGTCATGAGCCCTCGTGTATAAAAAATACAAAATAACTATATATATGTATAAAGTACAAGGAGCGAGCTGTCAACTTTATTTATCACAAGATAATATACTTTCTTAGCTTGTACATTGAGTTATAGCCTCAAGACTGATTCTTCACGCAAACTTTTTCATACAAAATAAAATCCAATAGTCCATTTATCGTTAAATTAAATGTCAATTCAAGTAATTTTTTTATTCTTCTAAAAACTACTTTTTAAAAAGCAACATCTGAAGATGAGCACACTTGTCTTTGTATTCCCTCAGTGAACGCGCACTTTCAGAGAAACTGGACAAAAATATTTTATTTGTGTAAAAATTTCCATTTGTATGTATAGTATGAGTGTGTGTACACTGCACATTGTTAAAAAAATTGTGTAACGATAAAAAAAAATTCACAAAGGAATTCGTAACGTTCCTTAGGGGGTTCAAAATGTCTTTGTTGTGCTTCTGCAACAACATTTAAGAGTATAGACTATGATTGTTTATAAATTTTTGAATTCGTGTAAAAGGTAAATAAAAATAAATAACATAATATTGTCACCTAAATTATCTGTCAACTGAGATTGAATTTAGGTCATACATTTATGGAGATTCTTTGAACATTTGATTATGATGGTTGATGATATTGATGTATAATATATATTGTATAAAAAGGGTGATAGTTGTTGGAATAATTAAAATTGCGTGGGTGGAAAATTGAAGGTATTTAAATTTTGGTATTTAGCGCTGGGTGTTGATAGGTAAAACATATTAAATGACCATAACATGTACGTACATTAACATTAATGATATTAATAATATAATTATGTATATATCGATGTGTATATATTTAAAAGGTAAAATAATGTGTATGCAAATAAATCGAGTGAGTTAATTAAGCAGGTTAATTATTTGAAAATATTGTACGTATTATACAGCGTAATTCAAATGAACGTGTTAATATGAGAAAAATAAAAATTTTAAATCTCAAAAAATTACTTTTCTTTTCCTTAAACTTTCCTAATTTTTTTTATCGACCTTTAAGCTCGCTAGTAAGTGAACAAAAAATTGGCTGAATTATTTTTGATCGAAACTTAAAGAATTCGGCAATTTATAGGATCACCAACTTTCTGATGTTGGACAGTGAATAAATTTCTACAATGATAAAAAAAATAAACTTTACTCAAGAGCAAAAATCATGAACCTAAAAAATCATTTTGAAGAATTAGATCATTTTGAACCAAGAAATAAATTCTTGGATCAAGCAAAATTTACTTAAACCAAGAATTATTTTTTAATTATAAAACTTTTCTACTTGGTTCAAGATAACTCTTCGTAATGTTCTTGGTTCAAATTTTTTTCTCTTGAATCAAGTAAATTTTATTTTAGTATACAAAATAGACCTTTTACACACAAAGAAAAAACCCTTTGTCAGGAAATTAATTTTCTTGGGTCAAGAAAATATTTAGAGAAACGAATGTTTTCTTGGCTAAACGTAAAGTTTTGAACCAAGAAAATGTCCTCTTGCTCAAAAACGACTTAGGTCTTCCGAAAAAATTTCTTGGTTCAAGTAAACCTAATTTTCTGTATAGAGACCAAGCTATAGCTGGAAGATAGAAAAACATTTACCAAAGGTTTCGAATTAAATCTAAAATTAATTTTTATAAGTATTTACCATCGAATGATATAAAACATTAAAAATTTTTCTTCGTGGATCATTAAATTCATAACCAGTCACATTTTTTAGATCGCATCATATTCAACGGTCTCTTGGGATTAAAAGGTCATAGAGAAACACACAAGCCACTCGAAGGAATAATAGTAGTAGTGCAAATAGTAGCTGGCTTTTACAACAAAACTCTCTCACTATCATTATCCAGGTCGTGTGTAGAGAGTGGCAGTGGCATCGAGACTGAGAAATGTACACTCCTACCCTCGCTATAGCGTTTAATTGTGCCCTGTGCTGTTTGCACACAGATATACACTCGAAACTTTAGCAAATGCATACATTACACAGAAAACACACGCACATGGACGTACGTAGGTTTATATTTGTCGCTTGGAGCAGAGTATATAAGGCTTCGGGTCGTTTTGCACTACTAACACCGAGATCACCGAGAAGGATAATGGGAAGTACAGAGAGCAAGACTTGCCGAGCCCGAACTTGAAACTTAAGACACTAGACATAAGACATCAGACACTGAACTCCATGAGCTTTAGTACCAAAGCTAATATTATGTGCAACAGTGTAGGTTGACAGACGCGATACATATTGGATTGCACAAGTGCCAACACCTTGAAACTGCTATTGAAGCTGCGGCGTCTGTGTTGATTGGACTGGCCCAGGGGATGAAACTCTGAGCACTTGGGAGAAACAAATACAATTGAACCGGCGAATACTACTTCAATCGAGTTAAGGGTGTATACAGGTATATATACTGAGAATTACTTGTATTGGGTCGAAAGTAAAGCTTTTTGCAGAAAATACTCTGCTAATTTATTCGTCTTTGACAGTATTACTGATTCAAGTATTTTCTATTCAATAAGAAATGTATGGCGTTCATACTGGTATTATATGGTATAGAGACGGATGCTAAGACAGTATCTTAACTATTTCCACTGAAAAAAAAATTAATTTGAATCAAGACGAAAAATTCTTGAACCAAGTAAAATTGACTTAAACTAAGAAATTCTTAGTTTAAAAATTTTTCTACTCGAATCAAGACAAAAAAGCTCTTTAAAATTATTTTCTTGATTCAAGTTGATTTTTTTTCTGTATCTACACAGGA